CCTATACCTAAATTAAAACATAGAATGGGTATTTTCCAATCCAGCTCTCCAATGCTTCTCAAACTGAAACTAGAGATTTCAACTGGAATTAGAATTCAGCCCTAAACTGGAGAGACAGAGCAACTTGAAGAAGTAAATCTCTTTGTAAGCCTGATTTAATATGGTACCACAATTTCCTTGCTCCGGCCAGACAATCCAAAGGTGCCGTCTGCCTCCCAAATATGGAAAAAGGGGCTAATGTTACATCTCCAGCCCATTTTGAAAAGAAATGTGGGGTTCTTGCAGAGGGTGAGCAAGAAATCAGGATTTATTGATATGATTTGCAAATCATCAGTATTGTGACCAGTGTCAACAAGATGCTAGAGGCCAATGGTTAGTGACTCATTGGGCAAATGGTATATCTCTAAGAGACATGGCCTTAAGACTGCTCATGCAGGATATTCTTGCTTAAATGGCTATCTAACTATCTGGCTGGCTGGCTTTGGATTAATCATATATAGCTAGGCCTCTATAATACAACTTAATTTGCAATATATAAATATAACTGGTTGCTTCTGCCAAGCTTTTTATGTAAATTTGTTTACCAGATGCTGCTGTAATCTGTTCTATTGTGACAAGATATACTACTGTATGTGCATCCAGTATACAGCTTGCAGGATATGATAAGAATTCAATTCCATCCCCCGAGCCATCAATTTCCTCTGCCTTCTCAATACAGTTTTGTTCTGAAGCTTATCAGTGGATTTCTAAGAGTTTTAAGAACAGAGAGAAGTGATTACACTTAATTGGCCAGGAGTCATTCTCAGATAATGGGATTTTCAGTTCAGTTTTCAGAATCTTTCATATTAGAAACATACTTTAGGATGTAAGTGAATCAGAGTGAGAGAACAGATTCAGCTTTAGTTATTTTAAGCTTCCACTAATTCAACTATTAAAATGTCACCTGTCCTGTGACATTTCCAAGGGGGACAAGATATCTTGAGAAATTTACTATATACTGGAATCTCTGTCTTCAAGAAAAGACAACTAGGGAGCTTCCCAATGATCTTTTTTTTTTTTAAAAAAAAAAAACCTTTTACCACTACTTTGAAAAGGTAAAGCATTTCAAGACAGACAGCCCCTACTGTTTTTGGTTCTTTAAAAAAAAAAAAAATAATGGATGACTTAGACCTTAGCAGGGTCAAGATTAGGAATTATCCACCTCATTATCTGAGAATAAAGGCCGAATATTTATCATATTATTTGTTTGAACTGTGATCAATTCTTCAAAGAAACAGAATATACCATCTCTTCAGCCATAAATTAAACAGGAAAGAAAAATGTCAGGTACATTCTTCTTATCTTACAACAAGATATTATAACTTGATGGACAAGTTAAATGAAACTGGGCAAAAAGTAGAAAAGAAGAACCATGTCAAAGGTAATTCTTAGCAGAGCTGAAGTGAAGAGATTAGTCTAGCATTCCAGGATGGCAGATAGCTGACTCCACCAAATATGATTCAAGGACAAGAAGAAGACAGAGTGATATTGTACTTCGACACAGTGCTTTAGGCTAGGATTTTAACAATACAATAAGGGCATAATGAACAGGATTTTCTTCCACATGAATGCACTTAGTATAGAGACATCAGAGGTCATTTCTTTAGAAGTACAAATACAGCATATACCTACAGCATACAGCAAATATAGCATACATCAAAGCTAGGACTTGGTCAGAGAGTCACTGGACTTGCATTTTCCTGCAAACCTTCCTGATTTGCATTTCCTAACCCAAAAATGTAGATTGCCCTTTGGCTATCTGCACTTCTCTGAATTCTGCCATGCAGTTCTCTGATTAAAAAACAAAGAAACACATCAACATTTATACGTGGGGGACAGCACAGACAAAAATGTATAGATTTGCAAATAAATTGGTATTGAAACCTGAGTCACAGTAGACTCAGATAGGCTTTTAAAAAATTAAAACAGACACAAAAATGAGGCAAAACTAATGTATCACATGAAATGGAAAGATTCAGCCATTCCTAATTGAAGCGTTGGGTAAATTCACCTAGTATCACTTAAGCACAATGAATCCACAAGATGATCTCTGAATTTTGATTCTTTCCCAAATCTTGTAGTCTGAGATCTCATTCACTGGAGTTGTTCAGGAGCTAATCTACAATATTGTGGTTAAAAAAGTTTTGCTCCATCATTGATCAATAGTCTTAGATGCTGTTCTTCAGAATGCAATTTAAAGGCTAGAATGGAGGTCAATTTTAGCAGTTATGCCCTCACAATCCAATTCTTAATATTAAATTCTTGCAGACCATGAAACATCTATTGCACGTGCACTGCTATACTTAAGCAACTGATTTCATCTACTTCAACTGCATTAATCTCTGAACTTGAATAGTGCACTTTTCATACACATACAGAAAGTATATGCATATGAAGAATCTCAATCAACCATTTGTAATAATCTCCTTAAAAACAAGTTTACTTTAAAACAATTAATACTTGCTTATATAAAGCCTAGATCAGTGTTTCTCAACCTTGGCAACTTGAAGATGTGTGGACTTCAACTCCCAGAAT